AAAGTTACTCGGAATAGAGAATATTTAAGTTGAATAGAATAAGGCATAAGTTGAAGTTTTCATGCTTTGCTTCGGCGAAAGAGAATTTCAATATCTCTGACTGAATTTTTGGCGGATATGTCTATCTTGGGGTCTTGTAACTGATGGACAGCTTTTGAGAGAGCTCCTTCTCCAATTTGAGGTTTGCGTCGTAATGTTTGTCAAGCTATGGAATTGTGGTTTGATTTTTATAAAGAGCTTTTCACGGAAATACGACTTTTATTATTGAAATTAAGAGCAAGAAAGCTCAGTGGATGCACAAAGAGCTGATTAGTGGAGGCGACTCATTACTTGACGAACATACGAACATACGTAAAGTATGTCACGTTGGAGTCTGGATGATTTGAGGCCGAGTCTAATACAGATTTCAGATCTTAGTTGTCTGGTTCTTGACTTCCTCGACTGCTCTTGGCTGGCTGGCCCGGCTGAATTCTCGATTCTGCTTCGATTCTCGGGAAGGGAATTAAGAATGGTGTTTGGTTAACTGTCTTCGGCGTTTTGGCGTTTTGGAACAGTCGACGGTTCGTCCTTTCCTGCCATTCAGTGGTACGATGCATAATACAGCCCGTGAAGACAAATATTGTCATCCTGATGTACAAAATCAGGTATCTGCGGCTTAACTTTGCAATAGCATCCCAGCTGATACTCTTTAGCGGAGACTATGGATGTTGTACTTAGTGAAGGGTGTTCAGATGACAGCAGGAGAAGTTTCTTTGTAGGTCCCAAGAAAGTCTTCTGACAAGCTTAAAGCGGCTCACTAATCCCCGCAACACATTTCGATCTAGTTTATATGTGGCCGAAAGATTGCTTTGGAGGAGAGCAATATGTCTTTATATTTTCCACTGATGCTGCAGGCTATTAACTTATGGATTCTGTTGTGAGTCTGTACTTTGGTGACAACATGAGTGAAAATTTTCAAGCTTTTCCATGTGAGTACCAGTAGTTTGAAAAATTAGCAGTCGAAATTTTCACACTAAGGTCGAATTGACTTACTACTACTTCGTTTGAAAGAGTGTCGCCGTAGGTTTTCGCTGGTTGAAGTTGTTTGTGTCAAGTAGTGGAGTCATAGTATTATCTTTGGACCAAGCGTCCGTACTCTTCGCGATCCTAAGCTATGTTCAACTGGGCACTTCCATATGGAATACACCAGGTGCTTAATGTAACCAGGTATACTGTACACGTCCTGTTGTGTGTCTAGTTTAAATAGACGTTGGCATTCATGCTTTGCTGATTGAAGACCTGCAGCATACCAGTATATATATGAGCAACCTCTTTCTCAGACGCCGATTAATTATAGATGACAAGCTGTACAGCCTCAGCATATTCCTCGCCTTAACTTATTTGAAAGTATGCGATGCTAAGACTTTAATCATGCCGGGAGTTCATCTTTTACGGGCATAGCTATGGAGCATAACGATGATCTGAGAAGTTGATCTAGCAAAAGTGTATCTGACAAATGGGATTGGGCACTGCCTAGCTGCCAAATGTGGGATCACTCTGCTTAGAGTCCTATCTCCCTTCATCAAAAGAACATATCTGCGCATTCGTGCTCTCGACCCTACATGTGTGACTCTTGATACCAATAAGTTCAGCTTGTGCTACTGCGAACTGAGTGGAGAAGGAGAAAGTGTACTGGGAATCTAATGAAGATTTACGATGTTTTGCATTTATTGAGCTTCCGTTCGTTCAGCAAATTAAGGTTACCTTAGTCATGCGAAGTGGTCCATACTGCGCCAGGGTAAGCAGAGGAACAGGAAGACCAAGATTCCATTGGCGTTCAGAGGTGGAGAATAACGCATCAAGAAAATATGCCACTTTTAAAGCAGATTCTTAAAGAGTTTTTCCCATCAAACCGATAATAAACGCATTAGCATTCTACTCAAACATTATACTCAGAGTATATTCAAACGTTACTACAAAGGCCAACATATTACTTTTAAATAGAATTTTATTTCCAATACCAACAGCAACTTTTGAATCTCACCTCACCTTCATCTGCCAAAACATAAAGTAGAAAAGAAAAGAAAAACACTACCAACGACCTGCGTATTTATCGCTCTTGTGTAAGGTTACACAAAATTAAATTTCCATTCATGCTGCCCAATAAATCGAGAAAATATGCCCACCTAAAGATACAAAAAAGAAACTAAGAAAAATGTAATTAAAGAAAGTCAAAGCCAAAAATTGTCTTGAGAAAAGCAAACAGGAAGTGAGGATGCAGAATAAATCAAAGCTATTTTTATGTACCATCTCGCGGAGCTAAAAGAAATTGCCCAACCACATACCAGGAGGGAGAGAGAGGAGAGACAACAACTCCGAACTGCTACTGCCACGGTGAACTCCAACACAAATACTCGTACACATTTACAATACGAAGAATCTACGGTGGGCCCATAATTTACGCCATCTTTCAGCAGTTGACTGCCTATGGTGAATATTATTTATACAATATTATGCATGCAAGTTGTTGTTGTTGCTGATATATTATAAAAACAACGCGGTAGAAAAAAGAGCGGCATCCTCATTTTTAGTTTTATATATCCACCTTATTTTGGGTCGTCTGCGCGGATTGTGAGTTCCACCAGTTCATTTGAGACTAGACCTCAAATATGCCGAGGTAGCTGAGGGGTTAGCATTGCGTACTGACACTCTGAAGGCTAAGGCTTAAATCCCGCCACCAACATTTAAAAGTTAAGGAAAATTAATTTAAAAATTTAAAACTTTCTAATTGCGGTTGTCCCTCGACAGGGAATGTCAACCCCCCTCCGAGTGTACTTCTGACATGAAAAAAGACTCCTCATAAAAAAACCTTTAGCCGTTCGTAGGCGTCTTAGAATAAACTGTAGATGCCTCCATTTGCTGGAAAAACGTCCATATGCAAACCACAAATTGGAGAAGGAGCTCGGCCGAAAAATCACTGAAATGTTTGGGTTTCTCTATTGGATGATCTTTTGTTGTTTCTACTGTTAACTGCTACCTACTCTGTCCAACATGAGTTCACCGAGTAATTGTTTTGTCAATTCTTATAACAGCTGGACTGTGTGTTGAGACCTAACCGAACTGGAGCATGAGACCAGGGTCTTAAACCGAATAGCATAATGTGAATGCATTACGCCATTATAAAATCAGTTCTAAAATATGGAGACTGGGTTTTATGACTAGCATTGGTGAAAGAGTGAACTAAACGGAACACAAAGAGCAAAATGTCTGGAGGTTGAAGAAGCCATTAAGTTATACCCGATATATGCGCTCGACATACTTCTAATTCGACTATGTATGGAGATCTTGTTCCTGGCTCCAGTAGCAGACGTATGGAGAGTAGGAAGTATACTTTCAAAAGCTTGAAAATCTCTATCTCTTTGCGTTTACCAAATTAAACCAGCATCTGCCTGGCGGTTATACTACGTGTAGAGTTCTAAAATGTAATTACTGGCGGATACAGAAGGCAGCTGCCCGCTACGTATGACAGTAACGTTCTTAGCTCGATAGCTGGCCAATCTTGGTTCTCGGCTGTAGGAATATTTTCAGCAACGAAAAAACTGATCAGTTGGACAAGTGTTGAACAATGAACAGTTGGAAATCCGTACTGTAAAACATATTTAGTCAAAGTATGGCAAGGTCAGAATGTAGGAGCTGCCAAATACGTCAAAGCAAAGTATATATAATATGTTATAACGAGTGATTGGCTCTTCGAAGAATATTCTTCAAAGATGGATGATTTAGAAGGAAGTGTCCTACTCTCTCCTTTGGCCAGCCAACTCACCTACCTGCCGACCTTATTATTTTGTCGCATAGAAAACCCTGCTAAGACTAATTGTTTACCAGTTTTTGGATCTCAATGCACTAGATTTATAGTTTAATTTAATGCAAAATCTTGGCACTTCACCCAACATGGTAAGGTATTCCCAAGGTGTAGTTGCTGACTGCAGAACTACTACTCAATTTATCAATCTCTGGTGTTAATATCAAATGAAACCAAATTTTTTTTATAGAACCTCTCCAACAGCTCAAGGGGATTCAACCTTTGTCACGGCAAAGAAAGGTAATTTTTGGAAATTATTTTAAAGAAAATGTCAGCATTGAATGTTTTACGACGTCAAATGTATATTTTTCTATAAATAGGTTTTTCTTTTTCGATTGGAAATATTGATATGCGCTATCTCGCGGAGAAAGAATGTTTCTCCTATCTGCCTTCAGGGTACCTGAAATGAAATCCAATTAAAAGACGTCGAATTGAAAAATGAGTTGAAATTCAGCTTTAAAATCTTACGGTATTTTCCATGCCAAATTTGCAATTTTAATGCAATCAAAATATCTGAGAGTCACTTTATGCCTGCAATGATGCTAATGATAAATAAAGAGTTTCAAGCCGTTTGGCGGATTGGTTTTTTAGTTACAAATTTCAAAAACGTACCTTAGGATTACTTCAAAAGTATTACAGTTAAGCACCTGGGGTCGAGGTATATTTTTTTTAGAAGCTATAAATTATTGAAGAATTGGAAAAAATCGATTTTCTGAAAGTGTCACACTGTCATGAATGCTAAAGGCGAAAGGTCATGAAAATTAATTAATTAAAAAACTATGTTTACTAATGAAATTGTGAATTTCTGGAATGGTTAAGTGGCAGCTCTTATTAAAAATCCATCAGCCATAAATAAAATAAAATGAAATAAACTGAAAACCAATTAGAGGCACCAACAAAAAAAAAAAATGGGAATAGATTTTTACCGAAAATCGTCCCGCTGCTTAGCTAGGTATCATGGATTAGTGCGACTACTCAAAGGAAAAGGATCTTAAAACCTTATTTTATTTGCAACTGAATCTCAGGTCCACAATTACAAATATCCAAATATTGTATGGTTTCTTGCTGGGTGAAAACGGATAACAGATTTTTTTAATCTACAGTTTACGACTATGTGCCACCTGCTACGGCTACAAAAACAAATTATGCTAAACAAAATTTCAAGAGATAAAGTTTGTATTTAATTTTATAGACCATTTTTATCCTATTTAAAATTCAGGGCTTGTCGCTTGGTCATCGAGTTTGTGTTGTTGTAATTTCGGCTGTTTTTATTACGGTTGACACCTTTGTGGACATACGAAGTGTATGCGTATGAAAAAACAACACAACAACAAATTATTTGAATATTGCTTTTGCAAAATAATTTCCGTTGCCACTCAAAAGAGTCTCGACACAATTTCCTGGAATACAAATTAGTATATAGATATGTATGTATGTATAGGTGAATGTATATCTTACAAACATGCTTACGAGCCACTCATTAACGAAATATGAACTGGGCTCACCCTGATCTGCACGTTTGCTTGCCTGCCTGTCTACGCACCGCTGGTCATTAATCTGCGAATTTTGTTTAGTTTTCAAAGCCACCGAATTCTACTGAGATATTCATACGCTGGGGATAATCAAGTTACAATATATATATATATATATATATATATATAGCTTTAGTGACTCAGCACATTTGTCGCCACTGCATTAATGTGTCCACTCAAACACCTGGCTTGTGGAGCACACGGAATTTGTTTCTTTTTCCTTCTTTTTTTCCACCTCAATTGCTAAGTGGTGTAATCGTAATTCCGCATTCAAGGAAATAAATCACAAATTATTCTTGTGTTTGTGTATTATTATTATTTTTCTTTCTGTTCCGTTTTTATAGCTGATGAAATTGGAAATTAAATTCAAGGGTAAGTCAAATTAGTAGAGGAAAACAAGTGACGGTAGTTTAGTTTATGGGTGTTGCATACTTGTAGGCGCACAATAGGAAAAAACACTTATTTGCACTTAATTGAGCAGCTAAGGCGTCAATTTATTCACACGAGTGGGCAGCAGCAAATTCTATTTGACCATTTCAGGACGTCGGTGCATAAATACATATTTAAATACACATATATATTTATTTTTGCTCAATACTTACCAATGTCTTTTGTATTTTGCTTTCATATATTTCGATATTTATTCGGAGTCCAACTCATTGTCAATATTTATTTAGCTGAGAATGCAGATTTTTTAAGAGATTACGAGCAGCTTGATTGACTGAGATTTTTTCGTTGATCAACAATTTTTTCCACTTTAAGAATTTAGTTAATTTTTATTGATTGCATTGAGGGGCATATGTACTATTTGCACGCAGCCAAAGCAAGGGTGGTTTGACTCTAGATGGAGTTTTGAAACATCAAGATCTATCTGAGGTATTTGTCCTTGCTGCATCTGAAAGTCAGGCAACATGCATTAGTCACCATCTTCGCCTGTTCCGACCTACCCTTGGTGGGCCTATTTAGACGAGCCTCCCATGAACCGGCTCGTGGTTGAGCCGTTCCTTCAAGGAGAGTGGGCTTTTTGACTGTTGGAGGCTGTTTACACTCAAAGGGTGTAGCTTTGCTGCCCATGGGTCCCGAAGACAAAAGAGGTGTAGAGAGCAGTGCAAGTTTGATTGTTCCCTCTATGCGGTAGCCAATGGTTACACTTTAGTCATTTTTCCCTTGGCGGCATTTTTACCCGTGCTAATATCCGAATTCAAGCCGTTTTTTTTTTTGACATTTCATTTGGTTCGCTGGGCACCTACTGAGCTGAGTGGTTTCGGTGCCGGACATAATGGAATAGGGAAGGGAACAGTCGATTGCGGTAGAGTCACATACCAAATCAAGTCCCCAGTACTCCCGGAGTTGGAACGATATGCGTGAGGCTCCGTACGAATAAAGTCGGATGTCCCTGACTGCAAGCCAGCCAATGCGGGATTGTATGACACCCTGGATTAGGGAGGAAGGATACTTTCGACAGTTTTCTGGGCTAGATCTGCAGTGTATTCGGTTGGGGAGAAGCTGGTCACTTCCTGCAGCGTGAGATTTCTCGTAGCGTATTAGCGGTCCTTTTAGTTCCGAGCACCGATGCAAGCTGTTTTGCCCTTCATCCCATTTTTCCATAACTTGACTTGGTGACTGGTCTAACTAAAAAGTGGAAGATTCTTATAATTTTAGTATGTACTAAGCGTGGGGCCTGAAAGCAGTTGAGTTCTTCCAAAAAGTTAAAATTCTAATAAAAAATCTGAAGTACAACAACAAACTTTCTACTCAACAGAGCAACAGTTCGCCTATCTTTTCTTCCAGATCTGTTACGTGTTCATTGATATTTACATTTCTGCGATTATTATTTTGTTGTTTTTGTGTCATTTTTGTTATTGTACGGATTTGAGTCGAGTTAGGATTTACATCAACGATGCAAGTGTGGCATAAACAATGCCGACCAACAACGACAGGCAACAAATTATGCAACGTCAATTGGGAGTATACATACATGCGTACGTAGTTACATATAAACGTACATACATATAAGTATGTACACATGTTGCATATACGTAAGCGGTAGTGTATGTATAAGTGTTGCAACATTGACATATTGCGCATTTCGCACAACATGCATCAAAAACGCGCAAAACTTTCGTGAAACTAAACGCAAGAAAACACATACAGACATACTCATGCATATGTATGTGCATAGTTGAGTGCAAAAGCGTTAAAGGAAGTGACACCCAACCGAAGTGGAAACGCCGAACAATTCCAGCTATCGTGGACAGGAATGTCAAAGTTGCACAAACAACCATAAATGCATAATCACATGTGTGTGTGTGTGTGTGTGTGTATGAGTTTGTGTGTGTGTGTATGTGTGCGTCAGTTGGCAATCACCTACATATAGGTTATTATATATTCATACACTTAGCGTAACAACAGAGTGTAGCATGAAGTTTTCGCGTCACACGCACTTTCACACACACACATACACAGCATATAGACTTCGAACACAGGCGAAACTTGCGCCGTTTAGCACAACGACTTAATTTACATATCGGCAAATGTGCCAAATTGCAAGTAGCATGCAACCGGAACACAAAACGAAAAATGCAACAACAAGAGAAAAATGCAACAACAAAAGAAAAATAGGCGAAATTTGAGGAATAGGAAATGCAATAGCGGCGTTCGAGCGCAAAACAAGAAGTCGCAGTTCTAATCTAAAAAAAAAAAAGAAAAAATCAAGCAACACATAGTTAAAGTTTTGGAATCACGCAGATACATCTACTCACGAGCCATGTGGAGAGAGAGTGTGCCGTGGAATCCAATAGAAATATCGCAATCGCAGGCTTGTTGCGAAGCCCTCTCTTCAACCCTCTACTCCACCAACAACGCGCCGTGGAAGTAATTGTTTTCCACATGCAAACTGACAGCTGCTATAAAGCGACGCCACTCACCCAGTCAGGCAATCAACATCTCCTCTAACTTCATCCCTAACTTCACTAACACCGCGCCGAACATTATTTCATGCAACTCAATTCCAACTATCGAAGTATGACAGCTCAGGTGACTACCGCCGACTGCACAAAGCCAATCCAAGCGCAAGGCCTCTTCCTGCCCACTGCCCGCTAGCTGTTACGTAGCCTTCTCTCAACTTCGTCCGCCATTGCGCGTTTGTTCATGCCTTCGTGCTTGACTTGTTCTCTAATCCGATTTAATAGTTTCGTTGCGGTGTTTCGTTGCGCCACCAACCACCAACTGACGGAAGTCAAAAGCTTTTGTCATCAATGTGCCAATAAAGTTTTTAATAACTTATAACGATTTTACATACGCCCAGCGGGGAGTGACAAGTGCCGAGGAGCCAAGCAGCAGTTGATGGGTGTATGCCGGAGGCACGCACGCATATGAACGTTTAAAGGTATAAAATCATAAAATCACTGGTCATTTACTCGCATACCGAGCATACACAGGTGTATTTAGTATATATTGTATAAATATGTATTTATTTTATATATGTAAAGAACGCATGTATGAATATAAATGAGTTCTACGAGCCGTCGATGTCCTAATTACGAGTTGTTATTGTTAAAATTTTGTCAACGCCCATCAATTATATTAATTGTAAATTTTTTGAGTTTGGGTAGTCTTTTGAAGTCATGGAAGAATTAGGAAGCTTAAAATAGTAAAAGAAATCGTATTTTTTAGTACTTTTTGTCAAAATAAGCACTTTTTCTGGATAGAGCCTACCTTATGCGCCAATTGACCCCTTTTTTTCAACTAGCGTAGAAGTTAGTTTGTCCAAGCGTTAAAAGTCCGGTAGAAAAGATATCGTTAAAAGATTTATATCTCGCTAGGATGCACGACAGGATTCTCTGCACCCGATTCCTTCCCCAAAACCTTTCTTGAAAAAATCTGCGAAAGATGTTGAGGTGTGATAAATGTTATCTTCTATAGAATTTTCGGCGTCAACGTGAATGATAACCGACTTTTATGAGTGTCGTACTCTCTCACTTAGAGAGAGCTCTTGCTCTCAATTGCACACTTGATCCAAAGCAGCAACTATCTCGTGAGTAATTCTGATTTAGAGGCCAACGTTTATTATGAATGGGTAGCATCTCTATGTAAGCCTGTGACTCGTGTTATTTCCGCCGTCCGAAAAGAAGCCACATGAAAGATGAACTCATTGTCTGCAAACTGGCTTGGAGCATTACGGCTTGGACAGGTTTTTTCCACTTCTGATGGCTCATATGGTGTAGTTTCGTGCTGTCGAGTACAGCTTTTATATCGATTTATGAGTCTTTTCGATGAGTTTCCAGATATGAATAAATCCTCATTTAAACAGTCCGACATGTGCTTAGTAAGTTTTATAGGAATTCATTAGTGATAAATATTATGATACTATAATTTCAACGTAGTTAAGCAACCGAAGACTCATATCTATTTCGCCGAATAGCCGAGTGCTTATTATGTACAGCCTTTCTGTAGGTCACGGCATGAGGCCTGGCTCGAAAAACATCCAACATTAAAAAAAAAATTATTCTTGTATTTGCTTCTATTCCTCGGCAGTGAATATTGAGCCCTCCGAGAATATTTCTGAAATGAAACAGCTCTTCTCCTCATTAAAATCCATCGACTCCGAATAAATGGCTACATACGAGGTGGAACAGAAAATAACCGTTATTTTCCATTTTTTCCAAAAGTATTTATTTATTCTTCAACAACTATCTTGTTCCCTTCAAAGAAAACCCCCTTTCGATATAATTCACTTATGTCAGCGTTTTTTCCAAGCGTGTTTTTTTCTTCTATCTCCTCAATCATAGCAAAACGCTCTCTTTTCATCGGTGTCTTCAGTTTTGGGAAGAGGAAAAAATCAGCAGGGGCCAAGTCCGGTGAATACGGAGGTTGAGGCATGATAACGGTTTTGTTTCTGGGCAAAAACTTACGCACAAGCAGCGATGTGTGAGCTGTTGCGTTATCATGGTGCAAAATCCATGATTGTTTTTACCACCATTCTGTGCATTTCTGACGAATTGCTTCAAACGGCGCATAAAAAAGGGGGCCACACGATCCGCGCTAATTATCGTGGGATAGGCCTCCTTAATATTGCCTATAAGGTCATATCGAGCGTACACACAAACCTATAGTCAACCGTCAACAAACTGATTGGACCTTATCAGTGTGGCTTTAGACCTGGTACGTCAACCATTGACCAGATATTTACCATGAGACGATTCTTGGAAAAGACCCGTGAAAAGAGGATCGACATCCTCCACCTCTTCGTCGATTTTAAAGCCGCCTTCGTCAGCACTATTAGAGCTATCTTTACGCCACTATGTCTGAAATTTGTATCCCGGCAAAACTTATG